TCCTACTCTCGTGACGCAAATTCTACTCTACATTGCAAGGTGATCCGTAATTACTTAGATAATAGTATTAATAATACAGTGGAGAGTAGAATTTGCGTCACGAGAGTAGGATTTTCATTTTGGATTTTCATTGGTAGTCATTCAGAATCCTACTTGCCCTTGTTTCCATTACTTTTTTATGAACTTGCTCTAGAATCCTACTCCATCTTGTTTTTTAAAAATTTTTTATGTTCTTGTTTGTGTTGATTTTTTTTATAATATTTGTAATAATATTTCTTCAGTATCCATTGCCATTCTGGTGAATAGTTAATTCTATACTGATCAATGTTTTAGTTGTGAAAGCTGCCACAATTATATCTATTGGCTGTGCTACCCATCTAATTCCACTTTGAGCCTATCATTTCCAATTTCTGATTTTATTTGCCATCATTGTTAATTCTCCTTGATTATTTATTAATTTATGTATATTATAAACTTTATTTATATGCATATTTTAAATCTATTCATTCATTTATTTTTCCCTTTCCTTTCTTTTCGGATTTTCTGGGTGCCAGCAGCTCTTGCTGGTAGTCCTTCAGGATGCTTCCTCTGCTCTCTCTGTACTATGTTAGATTACTTACTTTATGCATCTTGTAAATAATTAAATTAAATAGTAGTCTTGACATGAGTCCTTGTTCAAGAAGCAGTGAGAGTATCCATCTTCCTTGCAATCCTGTCCTGTGTTGTTCCTGTTGTCAAGTTCATGATCATTGTTTTAATAACATTATTGTTTGTAATCTTTAAAAATACAATTTATTAATTATTTATTTAAATAAAACAATGATATCTAAGATTAAATAACTTCTCTTAGCTAGAACTAGAAGCCTGGAACCTCCACTAAGTATTGCAGTTGATCCAAGCATAGCTAGATACGAGCTAGATAAAAAAATTGCTTGCATTTCCCAGTTCTGAGATCTGAGCATGCGCAACCACACCCAAATTTTGGAGCACATGTTTCTTTTAATAACAAAATGGCGGAATGAGGTAAGTTTTGACTGATGCTACAGTCATAGTGTCAC